AACTTAAAATTACCGATACTTTTTACAAATTCCTGAAACCTAAATCTATTAAATCATATTAGCGATTCATCAATATTAATATGGATCATAATTTCAATAAATCATTTGACTTCAATTTGTTAGGTTTGCAATAATCATCTTCACATGTCGTATTAACAGGATGGTGATAAGTATGGAACCAGGTTATCAGGGGAAACGTTCTCACATTTTCCAGGACAACCACTCCTGAACATTGCAAATTATTAAGAAAAAAACACTTACCTTCACTTTCTGCTAAGTTGCATTGCAAATTATTAAGAAAAAAACACTTACCTTCACTTTCTGCTAAGTTAACGAACACGGCTGCGAGTAAGACTATGATCACCATCGCCATCTGGTGCAAACTCAAATGATGTTGATAATGCGTGCACGTTCTGACTTGTCTTGCTATGAAATAATGAAACCTCCACAAATCCACTTACTGCGGCTCGGACCGACGCTGTCGCTGTTTGTGGAGATTGTGTATGTTGCTATGAACACGTGAACAAAAATCGATCATGGTTTTGTGATGTCATCATGTTAGAAAACATCTTCTTTGAGGGATTGTTTTTTTGTTTTTGTTTTTTTATATTGTCGGCTTTTGAAGCTTGGGGTTCTCTGAAAACTGAAATATAAAGATAGTAGTGTTCATAATTGCGGAATTAGTTTGGTGATATTATAAACATTCACAGGGGCGGCGGCACCAAATTTTACATGAGGGACGAGTTCTGAAATCTAGACTCTCTGGAACGCTATTTCCTGCATTTTGAGGGGCAAATTTTGCTGCCACAAAGGGTTTCATCTTGATTTGGGGGGGAGACCCCCTCCCCTCCTCCCCACCACCACCAACATTTTATTTGGGTGGGCGACCGTCTCCCCTCTGCCCCATCCCACCGGTGTCGCCACCACTGATTCATATATCAGTGAAAATGTGTTGGTGTCAAAGTCTTGTAATAATAGAAACTACAGTCTCAGTCCCAGCAATACACTGTCGATTACAACGTGTTGATTATAACGTCACAAGAAGGGCTCATTTTAGTAACAGCAATAGCAACAGTGTGCAAGAAAGTTTGAGAAGCCTCTATTCACATACTACGTACTCACCCCTCTATTACTTGTATTGACAGTGAATATTATTCAATGTTAAATAATTGTCCATTGTAGAAGTCAGATTTTACTGGACATGTGCGTGGTGCACACACGAATAATGAGTAGAATTTAACGTGTGTGTCAATTATGAACCGTTACTCGGTATTATATTTCTCGCAAACATCAGTGATAAGATAACTGCAAAGGATATATTTACAAATATAAGACATTCACCACCGTCTTCAGTGTATCAATAATCAATTGATCATCGCTGTTAAATCATCGTTCACCTGCACGGTGTTGTTCGTTCGGACTCCTCTATTCCCAACCCCGTGCGGTAACCCCATTCATAACGGTGTATGTCACGTGGTTGCGCGATAGAAAGTTTACCGACCAATAGAAAGCTTTGTTACAAATTGCCAGCAAAAAAGCACTTGGAATTTTGCATTTCTGATGTCTTCATCTTCGGCTTCATTCCTGTCGATATATGTTGTAGTGACAAGAGGTGTGAGGTATAACACCTCCATAATACTCAACAGCGGTGACAACACTATTACCACTCTCGGTGGTCGCAAGGCCGGTAAAGCATAATAACATAATGATTTACCACTTCACCACATCGAACACATCAGACTCGGAACTAAGTATAGTTTGAATAGATTTGGTTTGAATATCTGTGAGCTGTATGATGTCTCGATATCGTCGCTGTATTGCCTCGAAATCCAAGCAAACGCAACTTCGACTTTGCGCAGCCATATTTCTAATGATAGCCTCGCCATGCGCGTTGTTGAAAGAAACAATCTGATTGGCTGCTGATAAACTGATTCTAAATAGTGAGGGAAGTGTCACATACACGTACTCCTAACAAAATACTTCAAGATTGATGGAGTGCTTTGCCGGAACATTCATCTTGAAAATTCAAGATGTGTTAAATCCAAGATGAACGAGTCGGGTAACCATGTCGGATATTAGCGTTGTCGATAGCTGTGGACAAATGTTGCTTTTACATAGCTTACACATTATCCCCATATTCCACTGGATACTATTTGTTGATTTCATATATACCTCTACGTACAACCACATATTTAAAGGGCGGTAATCGTCGCGCCGCGCAGTGTGCGACATATTATTTTACCCATAATCCAATGCGGTTTCTAATAAAATCATGAGTACGAGTTTGCCCTGTGCACCACTTGCACTCATACCGCCGGCGTTTCCTTCGATACTTTCTAAACACCGAAAAAAATCCCAATTTAAGCTTAGTAACCTCCCAGTTTAACTAGTTGGTGTGCGCAACAGTCAAAATCTACTACCACCCTTTAACACTGTCACGGTAGCACTCGCATTCTTCTTATCACGAAGATTCAACATAACAGAAATGTGGTAAGCATCGTTTTGTTTCACTCTCCCAGGGATGGACGAATATTCATTATAATACTACAAAGTTAAAGACAAATGTGAGAATGCGTAGACTAAACATATTTTACATATTAAATAATTTTAGAGTTTTTTCTTCATCTAGATACGAATGGAACCTGTTACATATCGAGTTATTAGGTAAAGGAATACTAGTAACGCATTGTTTTTGTTTAAAAAGTCGCATGAATTATATAACCCGTTGTGTGTGTAATTGTCAATTCTAGCCAACTTTCTACTTTGTTACATTAGCATATGGCTGTAATTGAATGATTTAATGAATCTTATGTTATTATTTAAACAGCACATTACGTAGTTAATTGCACAGAACTTGGTACTCGTCCGTATGCTGTATTAGCTAGGGCCAGTGCTATTCGCTTGTGAACAGTCTTTTCACGTAAATTTTGCAACTGTGTGTTTACCTTGACACAGGATATAATTATTATTGAATTTGACGATGAGCTGCTCTAAAAATACTCTCACTTGTTATTATTTGCGCTCGTACAGATAGCATGATTTTGCATGAGACAATTAGCCTTGCAGAATGTGAGGGCGTCTTCTTGATATTAAACGTTAGCTTTAAAGCCCGATGGTCGTCGTGCTGCGCATGTGCGAGATATATGGGTATAAACAAAGATGGCGACTTTGACTGTTGCGCAGATCAACGAGTACGAACTGAGACGTTTCCAAGCTTTAATTAGGTAATTTTCATGTTATTGGAAGGCATCGAAAGAGTCACTGGCAGTAATCAATGCAAGTCGCGCCCAGGTCAAACCTCATACTTGTGATTTCCATTTGAAGAGCGCATTGGATTGTTGGAAAATCAATGTTTATCAACACAAATGTGGCACATGCGCAGCGCGACGACTACCGCGCTTTAATAATACAAAAACACACGGAATGAGTTTCGTTATTTGTTTGTATTTCAATAAAAAAATGTTTTTAATTGACGTTGAAGTAAAATCAGGGACAGTTATAAAAAGGCTTATATTGGTGGTCGTGTATGATAGGCATTTTACTTTATTCTGTATTTTGTTATATCATATCATGTACATCCGGTTGTTTGAGAATTGTTTTTAAAGATTCCTAACAAGTCGCACGTACTTGTGTAATCATCAATTTGAAAGTCATGTTACATCATAGACCTTAGATCTTGTTTTCTAAGGTCTATGGTTACATCTCCGCACTGCGCATGTAATTGTAATTGCGCCCGCAACGGGCAATTTAACTGTAAATCTTGGAGCTGACAAAAGTTACCTAAAGTGAGTGTTTCGCAATAATGTTTTTTTTTTTAAATCGCGCCCTCTAGCGACGAAGCGCTTCTATTACATTTTGATCTCTTATCGTTCAATCGAGATTTCGTTTTTGTAAGATTGATTTCTATATTTGACATGACTAACGACTACGCAACACAGTTGCTGTCGCCCATATACGTCACATAAGCGTAATGACACTAGAGGGCGCAATATGGATAGTGCATTGGTTAAAGCTATGTGCATAAACTAAAATCGATTATAAATTCTGTAGTGGTAGTTGCGCTGAACGGCATATTGGTATATACATGTATGTGCCTTGCTGTGCACTGGGCGAGAGTGTCACAAACTCGATGTCAACGCCACAGCCGATATTCGTTAACTTACAGAGGGTCAGGCTTTAGAACCACTTTTGTATGTTTTCGACTGGACTCGGACTTGGTTTGCACCGCGGGATATCGCGTTACTTTGCCATTATTTTACTTAGATAGACATATAGCCCTGTCACGCAGACTCAAACAGGGAATATGGTAAATGCACACGGTTGAAACTTACGGACAATTGTACCTAACGAAAATGAATAGAAGTGTCATGCCATTGATTAGGAAACCAGTTTCTATATACCAAATCTGGTGGTTACTTAATGTCATAATATCACTATACAAAATATATGAGATATTACTAGTATTGGGGGTGAATATCCCGAATAATGATTCCCTTTGCATATTCTGTGACTTGATGGCGCATGAGCAGTAGTGACACCGAGTTGAAAATAAGAAATTCTTCATGTATGTTTTATCAAATCTTTTATATAGTAAATCTCATTTTAAAAATCTGAGCACAGTTATTATTACCCATAAACACAATAGTAATAACATTGATTTGTAATACTGTTAATGAGTAAGTTGTAAGATTAAGTCGCGCGCTATCACCCGTGTAAATCGGCTTCTTATCAACTGCCGTGATGTGTGCGTATCACTGCGCCATGGTAACGTAATCCGAACAGATAGTCGATCAGAAGATAAAATTGTCATAACAAAACGACTTTCATATAAAATGTAGAAATGTTCAATATGCATCATTGTCACCATTTACCCCATGATGACCGAATATTCGTATGCAAATAACTGAATTCTCTGCAGTGATGCATTGATGAAGGGTAAATGTACAGTGTTGTATAAGACTTGCTGTTACATACTTTATCCATCGTAAGCTATTGGGTCCATATGTTTTACCATACTAATTGTTTATAGTACTGGTTATGATATGATATACAGCCTCCCGTACGTTTATGTAGCCTCATTTATATCATTGTTTTCGTTTTCAATAACAGTTCTTTGTGTCGGCTGACTTTCTGACACTGGACTCAATCCCTGGGAATTCTCATTTCCAGACTCCGACACAGAGTTTGAGACCTGTGACGACGGTGAGTGAACAGTCGTAGATGAAATGCTCTCACGCTCAAAGATAGCCCGGGGAGTTTGTCCGTCAGTCGTCTCGGAAGTCGGTATTTCGACAGAGTCTGGTTCGGTCTCCTCCGGAGTGGCGTCCACAAACGACACTGACCGGTTGATTGAATTCTGTGACCGTGCAGTTCTTTCCTGGGAGTTCTGTCGTGTGTAAAGATCGGCCATCGCTACTTCCTCGATTCGTTCTGGGTGCAGCACGTACGCCGATGCCGACCTGGGCCACGAAGGTTTGAAGACGACGTCGTAGTTGGGCGGTGGAGTAACAGGGTCCAGTTCATTTGCAATTGGTCTGGTGTTAGTCCTTCCGCTGTTATCAATGACTATCTCTTCACCGATAATTCCCTCCGCCACAAGATTACTGTAAGTCGGCGGAATCATATCATTAATCTCGATTTCATACGAGAGAAGGTTCGGTGTGTCCGGAGTATCCGTTGCTGCTTCACTGTCTGCTAACGAGAAGAATATTTAAGTTCGTTAAATAAAATAGTGTAGAGACAATTTGAATTTAATTCCACTATTATATTGCACAATATACGTGTTCTGTTAACTTGAAGTTATTATGAAATGATCTCAAACAATCTATTTGTATATCTTGTTATTGTTCAGTTTGTTCTCATGTTCAATACTTTTCATAATTTTCATAGTATAACAGTTCTAAGAACTCGTTACAAACAGTTACTCATATCAAATATCCATGTGTATTTGACAATAAAAAAGAGACTATTATAACAGAGCTTACTGAAATTACCAACTCATAATCGTAAAAATTATAGTTCATACTAAAATTACTCGTTACACGTAATACCTTCATACAATATTCGATAATCTGTTAATGTATGTCGGAGAAATGGGTATGAAAAACAACACAAATCAATCAACTAGCTAAATAGGAGGGCGAGAATCAGTAACACCATGTGCGGAGTTCCTGATAGGTTGGAATGGAATCTGCCAAGGCATGAGAAACGGAGTTTATTGGAAGAAAATTTCATACGAGAGAAGGTTCGGTGTGTCCGGAGTATCCGTTGCTGCTTCACTGTCTGCTAACGAGAAGAATATTTAAGTTCGTTAAATAAAATAGTGTAGAGACAATTTGAATTTAATTCCACTATTATATTGCACCATATACGTGTTCTGTTAACTTGAAGTTATTATAAAATGATCTCAAACAATCTATTTGTATATCTTGTTATTGTTCATGTTCAATACTTTTCATAATTTTCATAGTATAACAGTTCTAAGAACTCGTTACAAACAGTTACTCATATCAAATATCCATGTGTATTTGACAATAAAAAAGAGACTATTATAACAGGGCTTACTGAAATTGCCAACTCATAATCGTAAATATTATAGTTCATACTAAAATTATTCGTTACAGTGACGTAATACCTTCATACAATATTCGATAATATGTTAATGTATGTCGGAGAAATGGGTATAAAAAACAACACAAATCAATCAACTAGCTAAATAGGAGGACGAGAATCAGTAACACCATGTGCGGAGTTTCTGATAGGTTGGAATGGAATCTGCCAAGGCATGAGAAACAGAGTTTATTGGAAGAAAATGGCCGCCAGCTGGTCACATACAAATAGTTGTGGTTCATATGAGAATTATTATGTGCTGCCGTTGTACTAACGTTGATACAAATCGGCAACATTCACACACACAAAAAAAAATTGACACTGGACGGTCATTTAAAACCAAATAGTGTAACAAAATTACTAGCATCAGTAACCCACTATGTGTGTGACCTTTTAACAAATTAGAATGAAATGTGTCCAAAAATGCCCCCGAAAATCATTTTATGAATTTCAGTATTTTTTAGTTTTTTAGAAGGAAACTGGCCACTTGTCGTCAAATTGTGTCAGCAATTTTGAGTAGAACATTTTGAATCAAATCGCAAACAAAAATCTTTATTGAAATCGGATCAAGTATGTCCGGGAAACAGTTTTGAATACGTTAAAATGTTGTTTTTTGTGCTTTTGTGAAAACATTTACACACTAAATGACATCAAATCAAAGTACATATGAATGCAACGAACATGGATTGTCTCATACCAACGTTGAATAACATTGTTAACGACACGCATCCGAACAGTTAACGAAATGGATGAACAAACGGACGCACTCGCGCACGGAATCCTAAACTATTACGAAATATCGTGTTTAGTGCAACGAACGTGTGAACACAGCAATTTGTGTCTCCTTATATCTAGTACGATGCAGAGGGTAAATCCAAGTATGGGTATCAGTATCGCACTGTGCACTTTCTCTGCCTCGTTTATATCAATTTAAATGACCTGCTGACGTCATAAACGACCCTAGTTTAAATTATGACGAATTGCGCGTTCACATGAGAATAACCGGTTCGAAGACCTGAATAACAATTCCTTGCAAATAATAAAAGAGTCGCCAGACAACTGCAAGGAAAATGATGAGGTCAGACCTATTTCAATAACAACAAATGGCACACAAAATTGAATTAGTCTTTTGTAAGGTGCTGCTATCTCAAATCATAGCCATATCTATCGTCGACCACGTGCCATGAGCTAAACCTAAAGGGTGGCAGTCGTCGCGCCGCATCCCGTTTGATATGGGACTCAAAGCCACGTGTACAACGCGTGTAAAATACATTGTTTATTTTCATGAAATTCGAACACGCGCTGCGCGACGACCACTGCGCTTTAAGCAACTAGCCTGCCACAGTATTCATCTTTTTTCTCAGTTTTGTTCAATTCACCCGGATTGTAGTCACGGTCCTCCATATTAATGACATGGCTGCTCCAATAATACAGTAAATCTCACTAAGGTTTCAAGTGTATTTACAGTTACAAGCACGTATTGCTTTTATTAAAATTCACCTTTTGTTTAAGACAATAAATTACACAAGAATATGTTGGGTTACAATAAATTAGTAGATTTAAACTCAGGTCGATCGGCAAGCGGTGGTAATCTACTGAAACGCGATATACGAGTATATATTGTCTGCAGTTGATGTCACTGAAATGCTGAAATGTAAATATAAGGAAACAAATACAGCTAATTTTTTTATTTTTTATTATTATTATTCCCACCTCGCAATTCTCGAACTATTTATCGGTTGTGGTTGATTCTCGAAAAAAATATGATCTTGTTAAGAAACGTACAAATTAATAATCGAGAGTTACACAAAATTAAAAAAAATACAATACACCTTAATCACAAATGGCCGCCGAGCCGACGGCCACGCGACTTGGTTTTGCTTACGTCAGCAGAACAGTAGACGCGATGACTGTACTGTGATTGGAGCAAAATTCGGGAGGCAAAAACAAACCCCGCGGCTCGATCGCTCTCAGTGACATCTAGGTGGTTATTTGTGAGCAAGGTGCGTTACATTACTGCATGCTAGTACAATGATTATATACAGTATCACAACTTGCACTGAAACCCTCTGAAATGATGCTACTAACTTTTATGTATTTAACAGTACGACGCAATTAAATTGGCAATCGTGGAAAAAGAAGTGCTTTTAAGAGAGATATGTTGTATAAAGTTGTTGCTAACATCGGTTTTTCATTTCCAATAATATACCTTCACCCGCAGTTTCAAAATGACAACAAATAAAACAACCGCCGTACAACGAACACACACATATATACAATTCACGTCTTGGCCCGTTCTTTGCATCGCGAACTATAATGATCATTATCGATTTTAATAAGGCCATAAATAACTATGTCACAGTTCAACGAGGATATATTTCTTTACCGCTCTGTGCATTTTCACAAAGATGGTCTTGATAAAATGACCCACTTAATGGCTTCATAATGCTATGAACATATGCGCCAACCTTGTTATATTTATCAATTCACGAAGTACTGATTATGTAGGTGAATACGTATGCAGATACGTAGGCTCGGCCGAATGTATCCCGGCCGTCAACACAATTAAATGAATAAGCTGAATGTTCCCGTGGCTTAGGTAGCATGTTCGTAGAACAGCTAGTGGATTTAGAGAAAAGATTTATTCATTAATTGAGATTGCATAGAGCGAGGATTGCCTGCACTGAATTGCTTGGCGACCACGTGCACGTAAACGTAGCTATATGCAGCTTGCAGCTTGATATGGCAGGTACCGCTCTCATTTGCACCGTATCTGCCAAGAAAGGAAATCGCATCATAACTTCGCGTAGCATACAACTCATGTTATTAAATAAATTTCTCAACACGCTTGACTCGATCGACATGATGATTTAACCATTTCACTGCAATATATTAAATATCTCCGACATGGCTGGTTTATTTAATGTCTTATGAAGAATGCGATTAAATACTCTTCAAATATTTACAAATCCAAGGGACTGGCAGCAATACACGTTATAAAATATTAATTGCTTATGTCAGTATCGTTGTGTTTACTCTGGTGTCATTTCAGAACGATCATCCGGTTGATACGTAAGTTGTAATTCGCTAAAGCGTTTTTTTTTTTATTATTGGGATTAATTCTCAAGCCGCAATGCGTTTTAAGTTGAAGAATTTGCAGTCAAAACCATGGCCGCGCAAGGGAAATTACAACATTTTATTTCCGTCGTCGATAATAACATAACTCCCCTTCCTTGATTACATTAGGTGCCAATTTGCGACTGATTTCACTGTTGACTTTATCTCGCACTGTCATTTAGTCTTAATTCTGCATGGAGACAGCGTATGTGCGCTGGGCAAATCGCTGTTTATATTATAGTCCGCGTTGTAGCGTTACGTTCCACGACGCACACCAGCCATAAGCACACGTGAGATGGTGACATTTCGGAGAAATATAAGGAAATGACGTAATTCTGACGTCAGCAACTAATTTCGTGGTGTCGGGGGGGGGGGGAATGCGTCTCACATCATAATTACTACGGCAAGTTGAAAAATGTGAGGTCACTGACCCTATGTATTTTGCAAATCGGTGTGTGTAGAAGAAACAATTAATGATGATAATGCTACTCTCTGACCAGGCAGAGAGTAACATAAAAAAAAATACAGAATTGCTTACAGAAGAAATGCTATTCCCTCCTCCCGTTTCTGATCCGATACCACATTTTCGTCGTTGTCGCAACGACTAAACGTAAAATATATTACTTGTTGTCTCACCTGTCTGTTCGTCCGGACAAAGAGAGTTCCGGCACGCTGCGCAGCACACACAAAGGAAAGTCGCCAATAACACCACGGCTACGATGATCAAAGCCAGCGATATATCGTCGTTAATAGTGCTATTTGAACCTCCACTCGCATCAGGTGTGAATGCATCTAAAAAAGAAAACGGGAACGAAGTCGTCATTATTGATTCCGAGTCGGCGAGTTACCGTCAACATATACACACCGCTACCTTCTATCTGCGATGTGTACTATTATTTTCTTTTCAAGATAGAACGCTGCACTGTGGTGGGTAGCGGAGTGCGCAAGCGCAGATTTATATCGTTGAAGATGAACTACCCGAGTATTTGGATATTTGGTAGCTGGAATACAGCTGCCGCAAGTGAGAAACACTTTGATTCACGAATACATTTTGAGAAAGAATATAACTATTAAACTGTCGAGATACCCGGCTATGAAAATTTGCATTCCATATTGTCAATGGTTAAACCACGTGACACGATCGTAGATATACATCTGCTGTGATTGATTAAAAGCCCATTTTTTTGACATATCACCATGGGAACAGTGCTATGCATATTTCAAGCCAGGAAAGAAAACAGTTGTCATTTTCAATTTGTTAACACATTTCAAGTAATTTTCTTCTTCGTCTTCATATTTTTATTCATGCGAGTTGTGATGTATATAAATCCATCCATCACATCGGATGATAAGAGAGATATAACGACGGCGACGAACTGGAATAAAAGAAGACGGGTACTGGCGATGAAGCATGAAGTAACGTGTATTTAAACGTCGGATGAAGTTGACAATCACCGATCAGAAACACATGGATGCCTCTAAGTTAACGCACGTCAGCGTCTACTGCGGGTGCTTGAAGACATAGTTCATACTATGCGAGTATCTATCTATTACTTTAACGACTATCAATCTCACATTTGACCTTTCGGTACCAAATACTACTTAGATTATGATATTCTATTTTATTTCGAACTTCTCCCTTTCTGACAAGTCAGCCAACCACGTGATCTTGTCCCGCGGTATGTCGCTAAATCCCTGAATTAATATTTTTCGAGGATTCTCAAGTTTTTTTTATGACCATTGTACTATCACGGTAAACAGTAGAGATCGTGTGTCCCGTCGTCGCATTAGACGCCGTTATACAATAGCACATATCTCGGCAGAAATAACTCATCTCCGTATATATATATATATATACTTATATGTATTACTCTGTCTTGGCATACCGACACTCTGGTGCCATCGTAGTCCATACAGCATTAAAAAACAAACGTCACTGTGTCTATCGGTGTGTGAAAAATTGAATGTCTAAATCAAAAATGAAACTTTTTTCCGGTATACTACGCATCTACATTATTTTAAATTCACTATTTTCAGTAAGGGAATATATCAACGTCAACTTAACACACCTTCCAGTGTTCAAGTTGTTATAACCTGATGCAATAAACCCCCATGTCGCCATATGGATTACGTAATCTATATTCTAGGTAAGATACATAGACACGTTTGGGTAAATAAATTTTAAAAAAAACAGTCACAGAAAGAAAGACTTGAAACTTTCATCAAATTGTATCACGTAACCGTTAAAAACGTAAATGAAACACTGTGCATTTTAGAATGCAAAAGGCAAAATATGGGTCACATTGGCATACTGAAACATTGCCATGGCAACAACATAATTGATATTCGTCATTTGTTCATTGTCATTTCGACCATTTGGGTACACGAAAATTGCGTTCATATTACGTGTTCAAAATAATACCTTTCTAAAGATTAAATAGTGTTGAGCGAATCGCGTGACTATTGTAGCTATGGCAAATACCCACTCTACGTCAATCCGTAATGATGCACAGATGAGTCCGATGTTACAAAACTACATTTATATGTTGAACGTGACTATCCCGCCATTTTGTCCCGTAATAGCGGTTCGCCCACTAGCTTCTTGAACATATTTTAAATTAATGGCTCTCGCAATCATCTAAAGATGATATGTTATATGTTGTAAATCGAAAAGTCGTAAAATCAGTTACTACGCACCTTGACAACTGCACAGCGCTGATAGATTGTATAGCAAGATACAGAGAATCCAGCCCCCATGACCCGGCAGCCGTACTGTGCTTAGTAAGACATCCATATCTTGGTGTATGATGTGGGATGACACTGGTTATCTAAGTGACAAAATATAATTACACAATCGTTAACGTCCTTGAATGCTTGACACAATAATAAACAGCAGTTGCTGCTAACGCACATTAATGACATTGCAGGCTTCGGTGGTTCAATCCGGGACACTTTAATCGTGAGATTCAGACTTAGATCTGTGAACAGATATATCACAATGTAAATAGCACAAATTGTATCCAAGCCTGGGTCATATGGGATTTTAAATATCTGAAAACTCAGAAAGGAAAAAAACAAATACATGCCTTGAAATTAACTCTACAAATTGAGTTTTATTTCCCCGTAGTTGTGGTACATGACACGTTGTTATCAATCAGGATGATACAACCTATTACACTATACACACGATATCACTATCTAACGTCGATATTATGCAACGCCCATATATTTGAAAATAACGAGTCGGTGTTATGTCGTGTGCTAGGTGAAGATATAGAAATTGAAAGCGTCGTGTCGAACAATGTTTATAACAGTACATGTAGAAAATGAATCGATGGGGCGACTGCTGCACAACTGCTAGACGCGATTGTAATTTGTGGTGGCAGACAAGCTACTTCATAACGTATCCGATGTGTATCTCATGCGTTCAACGCAAAATACTAATGAAAATATACTTTAACAAACCACCACCTATCATCGAGCTTAAGGATTATCATAATTCATTAAGCAATTTTAAAATGGCACTCAACCGCCCATAATCAATAGATTTGTAATCAGTAGAAAGGGACACGTGCCATTGCACATAAAACATAGATAGTCTAGTGATTTGATAGTATTCTAGGGAGTGTTCACAAAGAACAACGTTGGGGAAACGCAGTATATGACATAATCGTCTACATATATCGAGGATACAATGATATGAAAACATAGATAGTCTAGTGACTTGATAGTATTCTAGGGAGTGTTCACAAAGAGCAACGTTGGGGAAATGCAGTATATGACGTAATCGTCTACATATATCGAGGATGCAATGATATGAAAACATAGATAGTCTAGTGATTTGATAGTATTCTAGGGAGTGTTCACAAAGAGCAACGTTGGGGAAATGCAGTATATGACGTAATCGTCTACATATATCGAGGATGCAATGATATGAAAACACAGATAGTCTAGTGACTTGATAGTATTCTAGGGAGTGTTCACAAAGAGCAACGTTGGGGAAATGCAGTATATGACGTAATCGTCTACATATATCGAGGATACAATGATATGAAAACACAGATAGTCTAGTGATTTGATAGTATTCTAGGGAGTGTTCACAAAGAGCAACGTTGGGGAAATGCAGTATATGACGTAATCGTCTACATATATCGAGGATACAATGATATGAAAACATAGATAGTCTAGTGATTTGATAGTATTCTAGGGAGTGTTCACAAAGAGCAACGTTGGGGAAATGCAGTATATGACGTAATCGTCTACATATATCGAGGATACAATGATATGAAAACACAGATAGTCTAGTGATTTGATAGTATTCTAGGGAGTGTTCACTAAGGAAAACGTTCGGGAAACGTTTTCTAACGTTTCCGCCATTTTTGTTACGCCAGTGAATCGCCTCAGTAGCCTTGTCAGTTAACGATGCGTAACGTTCGCGGAGAACAAATCATTCAGTGGAAAAAAAAAAAAACGCTCGGAGCTCTCACGAACGCTTTCCTTAATGAACGCACCCCCACCTAATGTATCAATACGCCCCGGAAGATTGGCAGAGGCAAGAGAGGGCGCAATTTATGGCGCCATTTTACAAGGTTATATGTATGAGCGGATACAGGATGTAACTTACTGACAAATATGTGATATCACGCAATGATTATCTCAATTTAATAGTTAAACTATGATCTTAACCCTCACAACTCTGAGAACTCAGCGGATGTATCCCCCCAAAAAACCTGCTGTTACGTGTTTCCGCTTGGTAACTGGAGATCTAAATTACTATGAACGCGATATTGGTATACGATTAGTAAACAGATGCAAACTTGTATTATTATACATCTGTCACCGTGCCGCCATAAGTTACAGCGTTCTGGCATCCTACCATATTAGGAAATGTGAATTCCAAATATGGAACGATTACGCGCATAAGCGTCCGGTCCTCAAATGATAAAAACAAACATGGTAGCCTCTGGGTTTGACCAGAGCTCACACAAAGAAGTTCGCTATACCTCTTCCAAACTTTCTGGATTTCGTCATTTCCATGACGTGTCCTTGGGAGGAAGAGATGTATAATAATAAGGTTATTACGAGGATACCACAAAGCATGATGCACTCGTACGCGGTAATATCGACAGTACGCGGTAATATCGACCTCCGCTGCGTGTTGGCCGATGCTTTCGCTGCACTGTCTTCATGCATGCTTTGCGGAATTCTCGTAATAACCTCATAATATTATAATTAATTTTCTTTCATAACTATTACGTGTTCTAACGCTACAACTGCACCTCTATTTCCGGCCTCCAATGTTTCAAGTCATGGTATACTAGTAAGTTCTTTCAGGATATCTGATATCGTCCTATACTAGAGTGTCATCAATATTTCTCAAACATTATTCGAAATTATGCAATTACCCTCTTTGATAGCCTTTAAACAATGTAATTAGAGCGAATGTGTATTTGCGAGTATTCTTAGATCAATTTCATCGTGCACTCCACCACATAACATAGTGTAGTCAATTATTTCTCGTGAACTTCTGTGCGCACTAAGCACGTCGTCGCCAACAAAGACCGAAATTGCAGTGTTCCGCAATACGTCACACCCCACGGCGGTGACATTATCGAAACAGCTAGAATTGCAAGAATAGATTTCCAGAGCGCGCAGTGTCACCCAGGGGCCGTCACGAAGATCGAATTGTATGGTGTATACACACATCTCGATTGCGTGTAGTCATGGTAACCGGAAGTCGATCTACACTTTGTTTGGTCGATGTTTTAAACCGTTACTGGAATTTCTGTCACTCTCTCAGTATTTGAAAACCATTCATGGCGGGCGAAATAAAAGTCCCCCTTTCGAGTAGTGTTACGCAATACACTTGCTACTTTTAAATTGACCCCATACACCGGGGTTACGGTATGCCATTTGAAAGTGATTGTAATGTCATTTGTAACCAACGAAATTATACATTGTCACAATCAATTCATAGTTTCTTATTGTTGTAACTACTGATGTCTATAATTTGTGTTTTGATTTTGGCATTATTCGAGTCGGTAATAATATTACGTCGTTCTTCGTGTTTCATCATTGAAACCGGTATTAGTCTCGTCAAAGTGAATGACTGTCCGTCATTTCTATCAGTAAATCATGTCGTCTGCGAATTTTATCTTCATTTAATTGGCTTTAAGACCATAAATAGCTACACGTGACCTGACCTCGGGAAATAAACTTAAAATGACATAAATATACGAGAAATGAAATATATGTGTTTTTCTTCTGCATCACAACGGGTGAATAAATCGCTTGTCTATATTTAAAAAAAATGCTCCTTACATTTGAAGCGCTAACAAACAGTATTCACTCAATATACATATTTGTTTCTCGTATGTTTGAAGGAAATACTAGTCATCGAAATGTATATTGTTATAAAACTGTATTTTGCGCCGAGAATATATCAAAGATTTTCGCACATCATTTTCAGGAACTCGATCGGATGACGAATGATTGCTAATTTCATGTTTAAATGATTTAAGACAACAACCCCAATCATCTTTAATCGGTCGCTATATATAAATATTCCCTGATGTATCATTTCAACATCCCGTAAAATGTCTTTCATTATGAGACGTGCAACAATATTATTTTAGACATTTCTTTCCCACAACCGATCCCTATATTTTAAACCAGGTTCCAACATATAGCTAAATTCTAGAGAATGTCATTTTATTAATAAATAGATTTATATCTTAACGATAAGCTTAATGTTCGAAAGGGGCTATATATGATATCGCCTAGACATGAAGCTACAAATTCAACGTTCACGCATGCGTAAATTCACATCCTCACGACATTACTGAACAATTTAAGGATTATTGGAAGGCCAAAATTCTGCCAATTCTCCCCCCCCCAATACACATGAAACATTAAAGATTTTGTATCATATTTCGAACATAGACAGAATGATTTATGAATTTAGTCTATTTTTAAGGACAATGATTTTTACTACAAAATCGTTGATTTGTTGTCCCTTTACGACTAACGACAATTTATGCGAGGCAAAACTCGGAACAATAAATTATGCATTCGTCACAATTAACCGAGGACTTTAATGGGATTTTACCCAGGTGTGAAAGAAGCAAGTAAAGTACGTGTCTAGGAGATGTAATCACAGGAGCAATGTAAACACAAACCAGTGGAACGTGGAATATTATTATCCGAGTTATCGCTTGCACAGCAATGATGTATGTCAGAATTGAGTAAACTCTCCGTCACACCTATAAACATGTTATTTTGTAATGGCAAGATGGGAAATACTCTACAACTATATTCCACTGTCACGTTAGTAGAATAATCACACGTGTACATAGCATAGTTATTCTGACAACAAACATATTATAATATTGATGATGGCATCCATATATTACTGGCAGGTGAGACATCTGACCTAAATAACGACTGAACCAGAAGGCGTTGACTTCATACATTCGTCAAGAAGCATTGATAAGCCGAGACGCTTGCAGCGAGAATTTGTATTTGCATGAGAATGTTGTGTTCGGTATATGATGCATTTTGAAATACATTCACTTGACATTGATATTTTTTTTTATATTACACACATGCAATTCATGGAGATTATTCAAATGACAGTTAACTGTCACGTGATATACCAGTATATGTATATATTGCCGGACAAAATGTATTAAATAACTGAGACAAAGAATGCATTTGTAAATTTACTGTGACATCACTGAGTTCTCTGCACCGAGTTAAACAATCAATTACATCTATATCTACGGTCGGCATGTTCATGATTCCAAATCAAGATTTGTGATCTGCTAAAAAAAAGTCACGTTTGTATTATACCGCTTAAGCAGTAAAAAAATAATATTTACGAGAAATCTTAATTATCAGTGCTACGCGGATATGAGCCAGACAGCAGTTTTGAATCACAAACTCGCTGAAGGGAGAAATGCACTTCTTTTGTTGATACACATCTATTACAGAGTATTCAAAACAGTTTAGAGTATACCACATAACTAAGATGTCACGTGGATCATCATTTACTTCCAAATGTATTAGTGATATATACACAGTAAGAAATTGGCATATTTGAGAGTCATATAGAAGGAGGTACTAGTATTTGCATGTGCATGATCAGCACTGCCCGGGGATTAGCAAATCTGGAAGAAATCCCAGAGAACTAGCTTTGAGTTAAGTGTACATGTTTTAGTTAAGCCAGTCTACCTCTATACACTAGGTATTACGTCTGCCGCGAGATTAGCCGTAGTAGTTTCTGAGTTGAACAATCACTCAGTGACTAATGAGGGTGTTATTGTCCTATGCGCAATGAACACGATAAAAATTGTCATGAAAGGTCAATGTCCGTATTACTCTCATTTTGGGTCAACTTGAAACGACCCTAATAATAAGACCACGTGATTAGTGATATTTCATGTTATGATCTGTACACAAGTCCAAAGTCCAGTATTAATATAGTGTATATCATGCTATGAACACAGAAGGGCACAGAAACAAAATCACGGGGTTGTTTTGTGTGTGCTTTGTGTTTACATATATTGGGAATATTTCAAACTAGATACCTTCACTATACAGTATACTAACGTAACACTGCCGAATCTGAAAAATATATCGTGTAAGAAAAAAAAATCATATATCCCGGCAAATGTATGAAGCAGCGTACATGTTCGTAACTATGGGACTTGTGGTACCCGCGTGAGTTAATATACGATGATTATAAACACGTGTGTAGCGTGTGTACGACCAGTAAACTAAGTATACACTCGCATGTAGAGAGAGATAAATTATAACATGACACGTAAATTAGAAACTCACCTTGTGTTTACTTTCAATCAGTCTATATACACTGCCGGTATCGTAAGTGATATGAAATATTTTACTGACTAGTCTATCCACTCTCTATATAACAGTGTTCTCAACACACTAGTACACAGGCGTAATTCCAGAGCCGCCACCTTGGTGTATGATTTCCGTCGAATGACGTCACTTTGTCAATATTCCACCGAGTGGAAACTTCAACTTACTCATGCGCTTAAGTACCGTCGAAACAATTCTTTTTGGAATGCGGAGATTGTGAACTCGTTAAATGTGAGCAGAACCAATTGTCTGGAAGTTCTTGAAGGAATAATTCGATTATAAACACTGACTAAAGTTCAAGCGATCCTGATGTCACGGCCGCCAGTAATAATAATGCACTGGCTGCAAATGACGCGGTGCTTGCAATGTATAGTGGACTTTATACACGTACACGAGGGTCAAAGATCGATTTTTTTGTATACAAACGCTAACAGTTGCAGATAGGGGTCTGGCCGAAGGTTACAATCAACGACTCTGTGGAACGTGATAATTCCGTGTACGTCGAGCTTGAATATTCGCAATAAACATCGACATGCTGTCGGGGAAACTGAAACACCCACCGGCATTTATCTGTGTAAAAGGAGGCTTAAAGAACTACTCCACAGGAAATAATCGTCACTGTGTACCCGCAGAGCTAATTCCACTACACTTAGACCCACCAGCAAAAAATACCACTGCCATGACGCAATCGGCGGAAGTGGTTCAGTGGAAATACGGCTCCATTGCCAGAATAGCATGCCACTGTGGTAGACCATAATGTAATAACCCAATTATGACTGGATTTGAGATGTACACTTTCATTTTCCATGTTGTTCATTTACTAGTTGGCCGGAAGTGACTGTCTCGTCTGTGTTTTGTGCCTGTCACGATGACCTCAATGTCACTTTTCGTTCCCGCAGGACGAACTCAAAGGAATACCCCGAGTGACTGATGATGTGTCATACTCCTGAATAGGAAAAACAAAGATAACTGATCAGTGTAGCCAGTTTGAATAGTGTGGGAGAAAACAACGTTAAATTCTGAATATTTGCCACAGTAATATTAGGCCCATGTGACTATGCCGCTGACACCGGAAGGGTAGTCAATTGCAGTACCTACGTCACAATCACATTAATCATACCATGTATTTATGTGTGTAGGTGTGGTGTAGCATGTAATCGTCCTAGCATGTAGTATAGTATACGAACTTCCAGATAAGAATAAAGCAATTCGATTTGTATGTTTAAAAGACAATACAAATAACAGTGAGTGGGGTATCAGGAATATTATTGGCATTTACCAAAAATCATTCTGTTTACTGTTTGCGCTCATATTTGTTTTATTTTCTACACTGTGATTTATTTATTTAGGGTTCAGATTTTGCATACTTATGTTATATATTTGTATATTCAAAATGTCCAGGTTTGTATTATTTACAACAACATTTGGATTTGGATTTGGATTATTTTCAACATTCCGATTTGTTTTTCAACATTTGGATATTTTTCAACATTTCAATTTGTTTTATTTACAACAAGTGAATTTGATTTTCAACTTTTGGATTTTTCAACATGATTTTACAATATGTTAATTCTGTTTCTATCCGGTTTGTTTTATTTACAACATTTTGATTTGTTTTATTTACAACATTTTGATTCCGTTTTATTTCAATTTGTTTTATTTTAAACATTTGAATTTGTTTTATTTACAACAAGTGGATTTGATTTTCAACATTTTGATTTGTTTCAACATTATTTTTCCAACATGTTAATTCCGTTCCTATCCGGTTTGTTATATTTACAACATTTTGATTTGTTTTATTTACAACATTTTAATTTGTTTTATTTATAATAATTGAATTTGTTTCCAACATTTAGATAATTTTTAATATTTGGGTTTGTTTAATTTTTAACATTTACATTTGTTTTATTTACAACAATTGAATATGATTTTCAACATTGTTTACAACATGTTAATTCCGTTCCTATCCAGTTTGTTTTATTTTCAACATTTGCATTTGGGTCATTTACAACATATTTATTCCGTTTTATTTCAATTTGTTTTATTTAAACATTTGTATTTGATTTATTTTTAACAATTAAATTTGTTTTTCAACATTTGGATAATTTTCAATATTTGGATCCGTTTTATTAACAACATTTTGATTCCGTTTTTCATTTCAATTTGTTTTATATTCAACATTTGGACTTGTTTTATTTACAACATCTTGATTCCATTCCATTTCGATTTGTTTTATTTTCAACAATTGAATTTGTTTTTCAACATTTGGATATTTTTCAATATTTGCATTTGTTTACTTACAACATTCCGTTTTTCATTTCAATTTGTTTTATTTTCAACATTTGGATTTGTTTCATAACATTTCGAATCAAGTTTGTTTCATTTACAGCATTTTAAATTTTTTCAACATTTGAATTTGTTTTTATTAGTTATTCAAACCATTCTGTTATTTTCAACATTCACCTCTTTTGGATTTATCTATTCAAATAATTCAGGTTTGTTATATTTCCAACATTCGGCACACAGGGGTCCATACTTAATTAGATCACACAGTAATAACTAACAACCCACGTGAAAACAATTCCAAAGACAGTGTGAAATGAATCCTAATTCACATCATTTTACTAGTTCACTGAACCCGTTCATGAGAAGCCAGACAAGCACTCTCTGTGATGTGGCTCTGAGCCACCGATCGATTACACGGAAAACACCCAATACATCTACAGCCCATAAATAGAGTGATCATTACGAAACGTTTCGTCTAGTTTCAGCGTGACAAGTATGGTGTTGAATTCTAAGTGACTGATCATTCGACTTGTCGAAATAGACATATGCTCATAAACGGAATAGTTGTTATTTCACTAAAGGCCAAGCTAACAAAGGGGTAGACAACTCACTGCGCTGCGGCAGCATAAAATATGATGGGCAATTAAACTATACTGTGTTGGCCGACCATTTAGATCATTGTTTCCAATAATAGGGCTACTGGTTCATCAGAAGACTGTAAAATATTTAGATATGTGTCTTCAGGGAGCACAAGAGTGTCCTATGAAGGGCATAAAAAAGTCACTAAAATTATGTGAATATTTGGTGAAAGTATTAATAACTGTCGCTGAACGCTTTGACCACAGTCTCGCTTACAAAATGTCCAGCCATTAGAGAAAAAAAATGCATTGACAACTGTGCATGGTGTTTTGGTGTTGGTAATATATATCTATGTGTTCATTTTTAGAATTATCCAAATTACTACAACGTATATATAGCTTTATGAGACTGTTAGCATCTCCGGCATAAAATATTCATATATACACAAGCGGCAATTCTGAATTACAATATTACGCACATATGAACACTATTAAAAGTATAGCAGTAAAAATTAACTCATATCTGAAAAAACATATTACCTCAGTTTTTTTTTTACAAAATTAAACTTATTTTAGCAGGCTTCGTCTGAGCTGCTTCAACGATGTTCATTTCGTGTGAATATACGTTGACGTCATTTTACGCATTGCGTTATGAGTGTGTGTAATGCTGCGTGTCACAGATCCTACTTTTCACACACTGAAAAGAAGTTTTAAAGGAGGCACGGGAGTTCGTCGTTCAGTGTAACATTTACCTCCTGAATATCAGTCAAGGTAGAATCAATATATTTCACGTCTGCACCCTGTTAGAAGTAGGGTCAGACTAAACCTGTCTCGCGATGATATAAACCCAGGAGATAACTTAGGTTGAACTAAGATGACACTTGATTGAACGTTGGTTAATTCATTTGCGAGTGTTGTTTGACAGCGTCTGGTGTACATAATTATGTGAAAATCTTGGTTAATTGTCATAATCAGATTACCATGTAATGTACAAGAGCATATACTGACGATATATTCATAGTGTATGATGATTGACAAGCCAGAGGGAGTCCTGGAGCTCTAAACCATGACAGACATTATATTAATTTTTCGGAATGGTTATATTTATTATATTTAATCTGAGTTGTGATGAGGCAGGAAATTAATGTATAAATGTAAACGTGCACCGGCAATACTGATCAATGTACAAAAGACGTAAATGCAAATTCTTCCCTTACAGTTTAACATTTATTAATATCCATTCGTCCAAATTATTGAATACCACTGTTTTTTATGAAACTTCAGTTCTAATATTTATTTTAGTTTATATAGAATATTGATGTTTACTTACTTATACAATATTCATGTGTTTTTGTCTATGAATTATTGTCCTACATTGGGTGCGAACAACAGTCGTTGCTAAGGTTCCAATATAATATATATTCCGATGTCAATTCTTGACCTTGGGTTATATAAATCTGTCACGCATTTCATTGGTGAGGCGAATATAAGTAATTTTATACATCGGTATTACTTTCAATATTCTGCGAATGAGTAGCTTATGGCGTAAACCTATATGTGTTGTGTGTACATAGTTACAGAATGTGTATGTTTTTATGCTTTGCGCTGTTTATTTTGGGGTGATTTTTTTGTATCTAAATTCTGTGTGTGTTAATTATTCGTGTCGCATTGTTGATTTGTTATCGTGAGATTAATTAACATAAATCAGAAGTTATATGGTGAAAATTCTTACATTTCGTGATTCACGTCACAGTCAGTCGTATCGCCGCGTCGTATTCGGCGTTGTTCCCACGTGACTTAGGCAACGCGTGTAAACCTCATTGATTGTTTACGCGAGATTCGAACACGCGCTGTGTGCCGATTGTGTCGCGTTCAATAAAGCCAATTCAGTTCATTCTTGCAGTTATTCATATTCAAGTAATCGTTGACAGTACTCGGCATGTTATTAAACATTTTTACCTTGGATTTCGAGTACATATCACACTAGCCATATACTGTAATATGCAAGTGTCAATCAGTACACGTACATGACACACTTTCAGGCAGGATTTGTTATAGCACGCTATTAATCACAATTTAACCTCATGGTAAGACATAGAACATCAAGGAGGAATTATGTTGATAATAAATACAATGGTTATTATAAAAAATAAATTGAACTTCATATAAACAA